TTAGTGTTTAAATATAACTTGTTTTTGACATGATATGATCTTAAGATACTGTTTTAATTGACTTAAATAATTTTATTTACATGTGTATGTAAAAAATAACTCTTAGGAACATTTTTAATTCTCTGATTATAAAGATGAAAGTTTGGAGACGTTGGATAATAATCATTTGAAAATTTGGGAGAAGCAGTGGCTTGCTTATGTTTAACAGAAAAATAAAGGTCATTAAAATGCTTTATGAAACATTGTTGCATATGTATGGGCAACTAATTTGGAACACCTCATCGTTTGTATTTGTTCATAATTTCATATGGTTAGTCCTGCTTCGTTTCAGTGCAAAGACAATGTTATCCTTTCTAAACTTGGATCCATTCTAGCTGCTAAAGGTCCGCCTTTACCATGAGTGTTTCAAACTGATCAAAGGCTTTTCCTTTCTATGATAACTGTACTTCAGTTTCCATAATATATTGCGACTGTTAGTACTTTGCTCAAACTTCTGTGGAGTTATAATTTATTGGTGTTTTTCTGTTTGAAATTTCTAAATTTTAATGCTAACCCCAGATTAATTTTACAACCAGGACTGGTAGCTTCAGAATGTTGCTTTGAGTCTGAACATCTGGTAGCACATTGAATTTTAAGTTTACATGTTCTTAAACCCTTAGTAAATGTAAGATGAAAATAACAATGGCAATTTTGATATGTTATTAAAGTATTTGTCCAATATATTTCCCTTACCACATCAATTATGTTCTTCTAAATGCTTCCATCCTTAGGGCTTAGCATTAAGCAGTTATATTACTCAATACCATAATGTTCTATTGTTAATGTGATGGAAAATCTTCTATTATCTTTCAATTTAAATAGTGAAACTTCGGTTGTTAACAACAGGTTGTGGTGTCTGTGGGAAGTGGACCATGGGATCAACTACTTGGTGGTGGAACTCACCAGCTTTTGCTGTGGCAGGTGTTGCAGCCCTCACCAGTGGGCTGATAGCAATCTTGGCTATCCCTCGAAGTAGTTCACAGAAGACCAGGCCCCTCCCATGAGGTATTTTGTTGTACCTTATTTTTTGTTTGTCATCAACATGAACATTAAATTGTTCAGATAACATGAATTTGTATATAGCGATTGTTATTTTATTGATCAATAAAATCATTATGATCTACGGTTTTGTTTGCCAATACATTATTTCATTTGACATTTGAAACACTAAAATGCTGGCTGCAGCTTCATTTACATTGGTTTCCTACTAGTAAATGAGCTGAAGTTTTCAGCTAATAATGTAGTATGTTGTAAAGCATGAGTTTTGACGCTTTTACGTCTTATAGAACTCTACACCTTCACAACTAAGATTGGGAAACCTGAAACCTAAAACAATATTGTTCGCAGAACAGTAAGTTTCCAGAATTACTAATTGAGGTCGCCCTTCAAAATGGAAATGGACACCACTTGGAATAATGATTGAAAATGAAATAGTAATGGGGCATTATTTCGCACAGCGATCATGATAGCAACTTAAATGTAATGGTAACAAATATTTGTAGCTTTCAATGAAGTTTGTCCCATAAAAACAGAAAGATGTATTATAGCCTTCATTGAATGCTGGATGAGACAAGTTACCTAAAATTAGTGGAGATTTTTTTTTTGAATGAAACATCTGCCCACCTTCTGGAAAAATGTTGGTGAAAGCCTTGAGTGTTTGATTCGAGAATTAGTCCCAAGACTTCTATTTCCCTTAGCACCAATATAAGTTGATGCTGATTGGGATCTATTCCCTATGAAAACATCAATTTTTTTAAATTTATTTAAAATTTTTTGGGTGAAAGGAAATCTTGTAATTGCCCATTTGTGGTCCAATTATGATGTATTGGAATCCCAAACACTTTGTGCCCGAATTTCTTGTATGAAGGTGGTGAATTGTGCTTTGTGGCCAACAATGTGTGAGTTGTGCTGATGGAAACCTTGATGGAGACATGTCCTTTATGCTCTGATTTTTTTGAAAAAAGCTTCATTGATTTTTATGGGAGATTGATCTTTATGATTGTTCTGTTCTTTTATTATGTTTTTACATATATTTTCCCCTATTTGTGTTGCTTGCTTGCCATCTGAACATTGGAATAAATTCTGGTGTTTATTGCACTTTACCAGTATCCATGAAAGGCTGTTTTGCTTTCAATGCTTCCCCATAACACTTTCTATCGAGCCTGAGAACAGCATTTAAAAGACCCTGAGTCTGCTTTAGAGTACAAAATTTGATCCAAACAATCATGCAAAAGAAATCCTAGTCTTGCGGCTGATTAACTGTACTGTAACATTTTTATCTTTTCTGGAGCCCCTGATTGAAGAACTTTCTACTCATGCTGTGGTAAAAACAAAAAAGTTGTACTCTCAATGTGCCTGAATGCATTGATTTTGGTGCCATTTGTATATATCTGTAGAGACACAGCTGTGGCATTTGGATGGAACATTGGAAACAGGAAAACAGTGGTAATAATGGAATATTTGTGACTTTTCCCTGCACCCAAAAAAAATAAATTTCAAGCATTTCACTCTTTAAACATTCAAGTTCCATCAAAGCTGAAATTGTTGACAAATGATCTATTTTTTCCTTAAGGCACAGCAAGCATAAACCCCCCCCCCCCCCCCTTTTTTTTTGTTCAAGAAGCATCAAACCTTTTTTGGGGACAACCAAAAAAGGGCGGAAAGAGAAGTATGGAATCTATGAATTTGTTCGAGTTTCGAGACAAAGTATATAACATAATCTTTATATATGTCCAATCCTAAAAGGTCTTGTCACTGTTGCACACCTTTTCCTCAATTGAACTTGTATATTTGGTATTGTGCGAAGCTCTTCGTGATGCCTTTAAAAGTTCTGAACTCCACTTCAAAAACAACTTGTGTAAAATGTTTTCATTTTCTTCTTTATGATTTTTTTTTTCTCTGAATAAACGGTAGAAACGAACAGCATCATCATCGTTCACTCAGTCTTGTGATCCTAGAACTTGTCAACTTTTAATTTTACATTTTGGTGTGGGATCTAACTCTGGTGAACCCCACTTCCCAATTGGAAATGCTAAATTCGAAATTGGATTCACATTTTTTCAAAAATCTGAGACGGACATTTGTCGGATTGGTTGAGTTGCATGAAACATTGCTCTCATCTACAGCAACTTATTGAGCTGGAAGCAAATGGAGTCTGACATTGGGGAGGGGTACGTATGGATTTCAGAGAAGAAGTAATATCTTATAGTATCTTTTAGTAATAAGAAACACAGCAAAACTGATTCTTGAAGCTTCCCCCCCCCCCCCCCCAGTGCTGCAGGCTGAGCAAAATAAGAAAGCAAAAAAGAAAAAAAGAGGGTTAAGGTGTTCTGCTTGATTGGGAAGTGGGGGGGGGGGGGGGGTTGATGGTAGGGTTGGCAGTCGCAGCCATAGCCAAGGGTCTCTCTCCCGTAGAGCGACAATCCCATATCTGTTGTGAGAAAAGGGACACAAATTAAATGGTTGTAATTGGAGCACGTAATTGTCTCTCGGTGTTCCCTTTCTTCCATCTGCCGGTTTTCCGTACGGCCATCTATTGTCATCTCCATTAACACTCTTGGTGGTCCCGTTCATGACACAACACCTACCTCCACATACCCATGAAGATAATCTTTTTAAACAACAACAAGAACCCATTTTTCTTTTTTTTTTTATTATAAGAAAAAATCCACTGGATATGACACTTATTGGTCACTTGAAGCCCTAATTAAGTCCCCACATGTTAACTGTTTAGTTCATTTCCTTAAGCTCTCGAGTTTCCCGCAAACAAATCATGATTTTGTTCCCCCATTTGGAAAACAGGGCAGTTTCTTTGCCCATCTCATCTCTCAAAATCTTGCAATCTTTGGAACCCGGCAATCCCGACACCTGGGAATGAGGAACTTGGAGGATCAGGAAACCGAAACTCGTCAGCTTATTATTATTACTACTACTATATTATTAACCCCCACTAGACTGAACAGTAGCAGTAATGTTTTATATCAGGCTAAGATCTTAGCATATCTCGTGATGGAGCAGCAGCAAGGAATTCTTTATTTTTTTTTTAATCACCGATGCAGTAACAACAAACTTATTAGCCATATGTGTTAGAGAAAGAAACTCCACCACACGTTTGTAGCAATATTAAGTATATTTTATTTGCTTCGATCACATGCCGATATCTTCTTCACTCTCTTACTCATTGCCTTCAAAAGGCCTTCAAAAGGAATGAGGTTGTAAACAGAGAAAGCCATAACCGATGGGACCGGAAACACAGATATTAGAAAAAGCTTGTCACCTCTCATGTTGGGTAAGTAGTCAAGGGATCGGATTTTCCAGTTGTTGCAGAAAAAAAAAAAGCGGTGCTTGGAATGGGTTTATCACATTGGTTGTGCGAAAATGGACCATGCATGGCTATCTTAATTAGAACATTCAAACAAAGTTATATATAACAGCATTAGCGGATATTGTCAAAAAAAAAAAAAAAACCCAATATGCTCCTGTCATTTCGTCAAGCAAAGGATCAAATTAACTTGCTTGTCAATCCACACCCACATGACAAATTCAAGATAAACTTCTCTAATTATCTCTAATATATACAATAACCTAAAGAATTATGATCAGAGAATGGTTTCCAAGATTAACCACTTAATCAATTTACCCAATAATTTTTCATTGACAGCAAAAAAAATGCTATACATACAAAATCACCTTCGTGGGGTTTCAACACATCTTACTAATAATATATTATATATTATATAAAGAAAAGATGAGAACAAGGCTACATCTGGTTCCCTTTCACACTCATACTTCTGCTCTCCTTCTCTCAATATAGTCTCCTCCTCGGTTGTTGAACAAAAGGAAAACAAATTCGAAGTGACTAACGTTGGCATTCAGGGACGGGGATAAAAATTAAAAAGAGGGAAGAAGAGAGAAAAAAAAAAAAAAAGGCTAAAAAAGGATAGGTTGGGCGTCCCCCACCCCGTCCAACTTCCAAAGCATTTTTGAACAGACGCTTTTCTAGCATTCACTTCTGAGAACCCAAACAGTAGGCCCCAATCACCTCTGTATAAATATCGGCATTTCTCCGCTCCCCAAACCCCATAGCACCCTCAAAACAAACAAAGCCGCATAAGCACAGCCAGGGTTTCTGTACCCTTGCAATCAATCCCATTTAAACAATATCCATTCATCCATCCCTTCCTTTTCTTTTCTTTTTTCCCGTAACTTCTTTTATCCAGAAATTAAGATAGCTAACCTTTAGCTATGTATAACTCAAAGCCATCTTCTCCTATGTCCTCATTTCCGATCCCTTCTGGCAAAACCCCTTTAAAAAAAACTGTGGATTTTTCCAATGATGATGAAGAACAACTACATAGATTGCCAACTCCCTCTGAGGTATAAAAACAGCTTCTATGTTATGTTTCTGTAGCCATTTACAAAAGGGTACTTGTTTATTTATCGGCCAATGGCTTATTATCTTGCTTTGTTTGCATTCAGGCCCTGGAAGAAATCAAAGCCATAGGGAAGATCTCAGGCCCGACAGCGATCAGTAGTTTACTCCTATATACAAGAGCCATGATCTCCATGCTCTTTCTTGGCTATCTTGGACAACTTGAGCTTGCTGGTGGCTCTCTTGCCATTGGTGTGGCAAACATTACTGGCTACTCTGTACTCTCTGGTTTAGCCATGGGAATGGAACCTATTTGTGGACAAGCTTATGGTGCCAAACAAGGGAAACTTCTTGGTTTAACCCTACAAAGAACGGTGCTTCTCCTCCTCTCCGCTTCTATCCCTATCTCTTTCATGTGGGTCAACATGAAAGCGATCCTTCTTTGGTGTGGTCAAGACCAGGAAATATCATCCGTGGCTCATACATTTATTATTTTCTCCATTCCTGACCTATTTTTCCTTTCACTTCTTCACCCACTCCGTATCTACCTCAGGACTCAAAGCATTACACTACCCGTAACTTGCTGTTCGGCCATCTCTGTGCTTCTACACGTCCCATTGAATTTGCTTCTTGTTACCCATTTCAAGCTTGGTGTAGCAGGGGTGGCTATAGCTATGGTTTGGACTAATCTCAACGTCTTCGTCTTGCTCTCTTCATTTGTCTACCTCTCCGGTGTATATAAAGATTCTTGGGTAACTCCAAGCACTGACTGTCTAAGGGGATGGTCCTCTCTGCTTGCTCTTGCTGTGCCAACTTGCGCCTCAGTTTGCCTTGAATGGTGGTGGTATGAATTCATGATATTGATGTCTGGCTTACTTGTTAACCCCAAGGCTACAATTGCTTCCATGGGGATCCTTATTCAGACAACCTCTCTAGTCTATTGCTTCCCCTCGGCTTTAAGTGTTGGAGTATCCACAAGAGTTGGGAACGAACTTGGCGCAAACAGGCCAGGAAAAGCTCGCATTTCCATGATCGTTTCTCTCTTTTGTGCCGTAGCTATAGGGCTGTCTGCGATGTTGTTCACAACCTCGATGAGACACCAATGGGGCAAGTTTTTCACCAGTGATGCTGAAATCCTTGAGCTTACAGCAGTTGCATTGCCAATTGCTGGGCTTTGTGAGCTTGGAAATTGTCCTCAAACAACTGGATGTGGGGTTTTAAGAGGTAGCGCCAGGCCAACCATTGGAGCAAACATAAACTTGGGGTCATTTTACCTGGTGGGGATGCCGGTAGCAATCCTGATGGGGTTCGTGATCAAAATGGGGTTTGCCGGGCTCTGGCTTGGCTTGCTTGCAGCTCAAGCTTCCTGTGTATTCCTCATGCTATTAGTTCTTTGTAGAACAGATTGGATGGTTCAGGTAGAGAGAGCAAGAGTGCTTACACAAACAAGTTGTAGTAGTGGTAATAAACCAGCTCCTCCATTGCCCATTTCAACAAAACAAGAAGAGCACTCCAATCCTAAGCCCAAGGAAACTAACAACAACAACAACAGGAGGGCTGATCTTGAAGCAGGGATAGTGTGCATTAATGATGAACTTGTGAAGTATACTTCACTTGAAACAGACCCTCTCCTCTCTAACTCACACGCTGATGAGCATTAATTCAGCTCAGTAATTACCCCCCATTTTTTCCCCCTACCTCATAAAACGGTTTAATGTGAAAATTATATATAATTTGTTTTTAGGACTTTTCCTACTCCAATTTCTACTGGACAAGAGCCCCTTTTGCTTATCTAATTTATTGTTTAACTTAATTTTCTTTTATTTGTTTTTTAAAATCCCCATTTTGTATTAATAATAAATGTAAAACGAAATAGACATACTAAAACTACTTTTTAATTTAAAATTTAATTAAATTAACTTATACAATAATCAAATGATATTTCATTTCATTATATATAATTTTTTTATATTTTTAAATTATGATCTTGTAAAAAAATTTAATTCTATTTAGATATAGTTTGGATCAATTGAGAAGTGAGAGAGGACAAAAAATGTTAAAAAAAGGGTTAAGCTGTCGTTTGTTTAAAGACGTGTGGAAAGCGATTCTGCCTGCCTTTCTTGTTATTCCCTTCCTTTTGAGGCAACAACGCTTGATCAAATTCCTAAAAAGGGAAAATTAGCATAATAGCTTTTCCCCAAAAATCATCATAGACTCCATTTAGATAAGCAAAAAGATTAGTTACGGTGAAAATAAAAACAATAACAAATATTATTATAATTACAATTAAAAAAATTTTAATAAAAATTTTAAATTAAATGAATTTAATTAAAATTAATATTCAAATTCTATTTGATAATATGATAAATTCAATCGTATAAAGATGCAGTAAAATTCAAATAGGCATTTAATATATACTAACAATACCCTTTAATTTTAGACCTTTTAGTATGGAGTAGAATTTATTATCTTAATTTACAAATTAATAAAGCCCATCTTTTTCTTATTCTCCTTTTTCCCTTATATCCACAAAGCTTTCATTTGCTTTAAAACTGGACCAATCATCAAGAATTTTCATTTTTTTATATAATTTTTTAATAATATATAGTATTCCATCCAGCTCATATCTTGTATTATTAAAAAATAAACGTATTATTTACTAAATAAACGTAATGTTTTTAATATAAAAGAAGGGTTAGTCTATATATATATATACGGCATTAATTCTAAGTGGATAAATTGGGTACTTTATTAGCCATCGCCAATAAAATAAAGTACAAAGAAGTCACTTTGGAAATTAATACATAAAGGAAATTGAATTTTTTATTAATAAATTCTCTTATTTTTCTAACAGTAATAAACATTTTATTTTTATTATTTTATTTAATTTAATCAAAGAGTTAACAGTGATTCCATATTAAAAACAAAAACAAAAAAACCAAAGTCAAATCCTTAGAAAGAGAGAGACAGAAGGCAGTGAAAGAGGGAGTAATAATTGGGAGGAGTGAGCAGTAGATAGAACTATCCACTTATGAAGACTTGGGGGGGGGGGGGGGGTGCTGCTTCAACTGAAGAAACAAAATCCAGCTATTATTGCCTGTCTACTTCTCACATGACAAAATTTGGAGCAGTGCCTCTGCATTTACCACTTCCCCACCACCTCCTCCTCCACTTGTTCCATCTATTGCTTCTACAATTCTAACACCATTTTAAAAATTAAAAGAATTTCAGTACTTAAACAAATTATTTTTATTCATAAAACGTGTGCATGCAACACTAGAGAATAATGAGATTAAAAAAAAAAAAAAACACACAGAGGATAATAACATGGAAAATGCTGCTTTTGAATGGTACACATTAGCCCATCTCATTTCCTTTAATCTTTTTTCTTATAATAATATATATTTGATTTAATTTATTATATATATATATATATTTATAGCTCCTCTAATTACACCACCTTTCTTTCTTTCTTTCTTTTTTTGTTTTTATTTTTTCCCTTATCTTTCTGCCGGTTTAATACATCTCTCTATCTACATCTATCCTAATATTACTTCTCGGTACTCCAAAAGTTATAGCTTTTGGACTTTCTTTTTATGAATAATTACCTATAAAGTAATATACCATGTCTTCATCATCTTCATAATTTAATTTATATTTTTTTACAAAAAAAAATTATAATTTAAGGATAAAAAAAGTTACAAAATAATAAAATTAAAATTTAAATATATTGGATACTACCTCTTTGAGAAGTTTACGTTAGCAAACTAAGCTAAATTTGGATTCTTAAATTTAGTTATGTTACATATCAATTAAATTATGCATTAAATTAATAAAAACTTGTGATTTTGACATAGTATTAATTATGAAAAAAAAATAAAAAACTATATATTAAGAGCATATATATAAATATTTTATGTGAAATATACATGCAAGAGCTTTAGTATGGGGAACCACATTTTACTTAATTCTATTTCATTTTTTTTAATTCTTAATTCTATTTCATATTAATATACATGCAATATTGCCCACATTTTTCTTATTTGAAGGGACCAAATTGAGTTGCATCATACTATCATTAAAATATTATATAAAATCGTATAATAATATGAAATAAGATGGTGTGATATCACATTTATATGATTAATTACCATAGGTAGCTATGTATCCAATTAATCAACAAATTAAATAGAATTATATGTAGTTCTTTTTTAATGCAAATGAAAAATGGGGGGGTTCCTAAGTTTGGTTTTGACTGTATATTCAACTTATCAATTAATAAAAAAGAATGGGAAACATACAAAATTAGGGTTGGGAGTTGGGACAACCATCAAAGTCCCCGATAAAAAATTTGAATATAAGTATAAAAAGCTGGTCCCGCATCAAAAAATCCCACTCCAACAGGACAACCAAAATACCTCCCATCCACTTCCAAAATGTTACTATTTGTACTGAAAATGTTATGTCATTGCCAAGTTAGGCTAGCTTGTTGTTGCCCTAAAATAATGTTGAATTGGCCGGGAATTGGGAGTTGGGACCCCTTCCTCTTATTAAAGCCTTCAAAAGTATATCCCTACCTCATCTACTACTTCTTTTCTAGCTCTTTTCCAATTATCATGAATTCACTAGATATTTTTTTTTGTCTATATCAAATGTATTACTCATTCACTGCTCTTTGCCACATATTTTCTGGTTTTTCCACTATGATTTCTAAAGATTTATTCATACAAGTCTCTCAAACTTATGTTCAAATTTCCTGACATGAAAATTGAAATAATGTGCCAGATATCATTGCATTCCCCTCCCTAAAATATTTTAAGATTTTTTTTTTGTAGTTTATGTACTATCTTATATAGTAAGAAGAAGGTGATATATATACTATTGATTTTAATTCTAAAGATGTTTTACAGATAATACATAATATAGGAAAACCATCACTCTACTCCAAAATCAAGGAAAACATTAGCTACTTGAATAAACAAGAATTATCCCCCAACTAATTGATTAGGTTTCACCTAAACTTAGGTAAATATTGTTTCAAGCAAAGTTAAAAAAAGTGCTATATATAAGTTGTATAAAAAAAAAGGTGCTCAAATGGAACTGATTTAATATATAGTTGCTAGCAGTTATGATCAAATTAACTATATACAAAACTGAAAAAGAAAATCCAACTTTAGGATTTGAAGCAAAGTAGGGCTTTCATTCATGCATGGTGGCCAATCATGTCATCTTTCTATGACACTTTTATAACCATATTATTCGGTCACAATCTTATTCAAAACAATTTCAATTTATTTAATCCCACTAGTCATGAAATAGTTTTTTTTTATTTGAATGGGGAATTATCGAACTTTAGTTTTGTTGGAAGTGATTGAACATTTTGAATTTTATTTTTTTTAATAGTCACGTGATCTTTTAAAAAACATATTAAAATTTTAATTTCAGTAATCATTGATTAATCCTTCATAATTTTAATTAAAAGAATAATTCTTTTTACAAAAGCCAGAGAAATGGATAAGCTAACTAAATTTTGCATTTTATTTATGTGTGAATGGACCCTTGAAAAGAAGATCAATACTACTAGTAGATGAACTTTTTAGTGTGGGGAATCTGCTTATAATGCCATCCATTGTGGGACATATCAACAAGCCATCATTTTCCAGCACATTATTCTCAACTTTAACTCGAATAATTTTAAGCCACGTGTCATACAAATCATTTTCAAGCTTTATTGGACAAGTGGCCATTGAATAAGTGACACGTGTTTCGCATCTCAACCCACTGTGCTTGAACTTGGTAGTCCACCAATGGCATCATTTTGTGTGCCACAAGAATCCCATTTCATCAATTTAAAAAAAAAAAACCCAACAAATCAAACTGCCCCAATTGCTTGAAATAGTGGTGTAGAGTGTTAAAGCACCAAAGAATTTGACAAAAAAGAAAGCTTAAAAAAAGAATAAAAAAATGCTTTATATATAGCGAAGTTTCATACGTACTCCCCAAAAAGTCATAATCAGTATATAAAAAGATTGATAAGTCACACGACAATACCTAAAACTGGTAAAGGTATATGTGCTATTTGGCCTATATTTCCCTCTGTAAAGGGTCTTTTCAAAGAACTCACTCTCCCTCTTTGGGCGGGAGCTTTGTGGTGTGGTGAGTGGTCGGCCCTTATCTTCTTTGTTTTTTCAGTTAATGAAAGGGAAGGAAACTGGCTATGCCGCTGTGGCCGGTGGCCATTATCTTTTAAACCACAACAAGTACTGTTTTGAGGACCTTTGACTGTTTCTGTCAAAAGCTCTAAAACCCTACGACTCTGAAATTTTTATGCTAGCCAAGCCAGTCCACTGGCCGAAAGCCATCCCTTGTGGGCTAAAAAAAGCCTTCAAAAAAGGGTGACTTATTCAAATCACTATTCTTTTCCTCAATGATGACCCACATTATTGACTTATGTAAGCCTTCGCCTATTGTCACAGCTATATATGCCCCTGCCCCTGCACCCATTGGGATTGGCATGCAGCCTATATCTAATCGTCCTTTTGGTCTATGGATGCCATTATATTCCTTCTTCATGTGTATGGACAAACGCAAACCAGTACAGATTAACGCATTTCATTTAGTCAATCAAGTTGATAAAATGAATATGTTTTTCATGTGACATGGGTTTTTTTATTTGAAAAAAGAAGAAGGAGAATTAGAGTTATTTTAACAGAAAA